TTTTTTTTGGGTCCGGTCGTGGGGCCTGAACTCTGGGCCTGGGCGCTGTCCCTCAGCTCTTCAGCTCAAGGCTAGTGCTCTACCACTTGAGCCACAGCCCCACTTCCGGCTTTTTTCTTTTTGCTTATCTGGTGCTGAGGAATCGAACCCAGGGCCTCAGGCATGCAAGGCAAGCGCTCTACCACTGAGCCACCTTCCTAGCCCTGGGCCTTAACTTTAAAAAATAAAAAAAAAGAATTTAAAATTATGCAAAATCCCGGAGCACCAACTGCTCAACTTGATGAGAATCATACAGTCCATAGGAATAATTCTTTTCTCTCTCTCTCTTCCCCCCACCCCTCTCAGTGCTAGTACAGGGGTTTGAGCTCAGGGTCTCGGCTCCATTCCTTAGCTCTTTTGGGTAAGATTGGTCTCTACCACTTGAGCCACAGCTCCATTTCTGGCTTTTCACTGATTAACTGGAGAGAGGAGTCTCATGGATTTTCCTGCCTGGGCTGGATTCAAACCACACTCCTTAGTTCTCAGCCTCAAGTCAGGATTACAGGCGTGAGCCACTAGCATCCAACCTTCCTTTCTTCTCTTGAGAGCAGTTCTTAACTACTCCATGTCCTTGCAGGCTGTCAAGGGTAAATGAGAGTGTGCACTCAAAGCTTGGAGTCCCTGAGGAACAGTCTGGGCTAGTATCATTTCTACCATCCCTACTGGTAGTACCAGTGGCCCGATCTTCACATCATCATGATGACTACTAGTACCACCCCAACTACCTCCACTGACACTATTCTGCCACAGACAGTAGGACATTTGTGGTACCCAGGACTCACCTGTGTCTCCCAATGTGATGCTTCTTGCCTGGCTGCTTGAGCTGGGGCAACCTTCTTCTGTACTTGGTCTTCTTGTCTTCAGCTTCAGACTGGAATGGTTATCTATGCGGGTACCCCTCCAGCTCTCTGACCTTCTAGCTACACCACTAGTTACCCTGGTCTCCAGATGGAGACAGAAGATCCGACTTCACAGCCTCTCACACTATATAAGCCAAAGCAGTAGAAGACCCTCCCCATATAGGTATAGCTATGGAAAGATACATATTTTTTATATATGCACTTATATAGGTACAGACAGACATAGGTATGTATCCATTTTCATTTTCCATTGCTTTTGCTTCTCTGAGGACAGAGGTGACAAGTATATTTTAAAGCCTTTAAAGATGGAAATCATTTAACCATTCAGCATCAGGCTTACAGCAGGAAGATAGAAAAACAGGAAGGAAGGGAAATACTATGATCTAACCATCAACAAGAAGGAGATTGCACTGAAAGCCAAGGAGATCCAAAGCAGCCTTTTGAGTGACTAGATTTACAAGCATAAACCACTGGCAGTCATCTCCATTTTCACTTTCTAGGTCAATATCGTGTCCAGAAAAATCAAGTAAGTCAAGAAAATGGTTCCTATACATGTCCTTTGTGCATGTCATGATGCCAGCCAAAGAAAACTGAGAACATTCCTGGAAATCATGACCCAACCAGAGAGAAGAGCTGGTGTTAGGAAAAGAATCACAAAGCTTACTGAGGAGATTCTGAGCATTGAGGATCCACAGCCTGACCTTGGCCCTAATGATAGCTGTAATAACGAAGACCATCAATCTGTGATGGCTGTTCCTCTGGGCAGTCAGCTGTTGGATAAGCTGGACTAAGGCCCAGGAACACTGTATTTCTCTGCAGAGAACCTGACCACTGCTCCCTCCTCTACAGAGCCCTCAAGGAGCATCACTGAGGAAGCTCCTGAGTGTGGGTGTCACCATGAATGGTGGGGGACAGATTCTATCAAAAAATAAAATAAAATTAGGCACATTTTCCTCCAGACTCACTAACCCCATCCTCTGCATATATGCCTTCATGTTTTGACATTAATTGAACTGTCTTTACTGCTAAAAATAAATTCGAGGTCAAATATAATGCATCAAAAAACCTCAATACAAAACCACAAGAAATAGTAGTAGCGGGCCAACACCAGATGTGATTTGAAAAGATGTTTGTTCTGTTTCCAGTCTAGGGTTCCAAGTGGGCTAATCATTCTTACTACTGTCAACACTGAAGAAATACAGGAAGCAACCTTTACCTGTACCTGTGAAGAAGTACAGGAAGCAACCTGTACCCTGTGGCTAAAGACCAGGGCTGCAGGAATCTACAGATCAGAGAAGGCAGGGCTCTGTGATGCCCTCTTACCAGTGCCAAACAAGGCCGGTGTGTGAATAACAGGCAGGGATTCAAAAGAAGCAACCAGGGCAGGTGAGGTCAGGAGCCCAAATGGCCCAGGGAAGGGTCAAAAGAGAAGAGTCAACTGTCATCATTTGTTTTCTGTAGTTGATGCAGAATCTCTGAAAGAAATCTGTGAAAAAAAGAGTTCTAGAGACTAAAAAGTCCAAGATTTGGGCAACTGAACCTGGTTAGCTCTGGTGACAGCCTCAGGGAAGGACTAATAGATCCATGTGGAGGAGAGAAAAGGGACCAGACTCTCTCAGTATCTACTTCTCACACACACACACACACACACACACACACACACACACACACACACACACAGAGCCAGGCGCTGGTGGCTCATGCCTGTAATCCTAGCAACTCAAGAGGTTGACATCTGAGGATCATCTTTAGAACCCAGCTTGGGCAGGAAAGTCTGTGAGGCTCTCATCTCCAATTAACCAGCAGAAAGCTGGAGGTAGAGTTATGGCTCAAGTGGTAGAGTGTTAACCTTGAGCAAAAAAGCTCAGGGACAGCACTTAGTCCCTGAGCTCATACTCTAGTACTGGCACCAAAATAGAGAGAGAGAGAGAATTGTGAGTACACTGGAGGACAGAACTCTGACGGACAATGAAGCTTCCTAACTGCTCATCAGCAGCTCAGCTCTGGGGAGATTTACTCACAAACATCCTTCAAGAGGCACAGGAGGCAGCACCCTGTCCAGCAAGCATCCTGCAGAGAGAACAGAGCCCTCCTCATCCCCCAAGTGCAGTCAGCCACATCCACAAAGGCTGTACCTGTCAATTCAACCAACTGCGGATGAAAAAGAGGAAAGAAAGAGCTGCATGGAGACTCAACATGTGCACCCTGTTTGCTTGCCATTATCCCCTGAACAATTACAGCAGAACTATTTGCAGAGCATTTATATTGCGGGAGGTATTCCAAGTCAGCTAGAGATGATTTAAAGTATACGACGTAGATTATATGCTAATCATATTCTATTCTGAATAAGGCAAGCATCGTTAGACTGGGGTATCTTTGAACCAGTCCCCCAAGAAAACTGAAAAATGGCTGTTCCTAATAGGTCTGGAATACCGTAGGTGTGTACCTGTGCCCCTCACCTCAATGCAGGGCAAGGCCTCACACACTCCATCTCCCAATGTCATGGGAAGGCTGAGCACCCAGCAACTGAGAAAAACAAGCATGTGACACAAAAAGGCATGGGTAGGGAGAACAGTATTGTGCAATTCCCTGCACCGGCCACACAGTGCCGACTGCTGAGCACCCAGCGTCCTCCTCACCCTCTTCCCATCCAACAGAATTGTCCAATCTGTGGCAGCCATCATGCATGTCAGTTTCCATGTCATCATGGTATTTATTCTTGCTAGCATCTTGTTAAAGAATAATTGCCACTAATCTCATTCATTCCTCTGAACCTTTCAGAACTTCGATCTTCTTGTGTGTTCTCTCTCTTTCTCTCTCTCTCTCTCTCCTCAAACCATCCCTCAGGCAGATTTGGGCATAGGTAAAAGGCTGGGGAAACAGTATACCCAAGACTTTGGAACGGCCTGGGAACACAAAAGGAACATTATATGGAGTCACTAAAGCACATTTTAAAAATTAATAAAGAATACCACTCCTGCTACTCATAATCGTAGCTATTCAGGAAGCTGAGATCTGAGGATCACAGCTCGAAGCCAGACTGGGCAGGAAAATCCATGAGACTTTTTTTTTTTTTTTATCCTGGGGCTTAAACTCTGAATCTGGGCACTGTCCCTGAGCTTTTTTGCTCAAGGCAAATGCTCTTCCACTTGAGCCACTTTTATTAGTAGTTTATTCGTGATAAGAGTCTTAACAGACATTTCTGCTTGGGCTAGCTTCAAACATGATCTTCAGATCTCAGACTCCTGTATAAAGCATGAGCCACTAATGCCCAACTCCTGAAATGGAGCTGTAGTTCAATTGGTAGAGCACAAGTTTTGAACAAAAGAGCTCAGGGACAGAGCCTAAGCCCTGAGTTCAATCCCTAGGATTGGCACACCCCTACTCCCAAAGAAAGAAAACAACAAGGACACCCCTTTTTCTGTGTGGGAGCACTTCCTGTGCCATGCTGGGCTACCTGTGAAGCTCTGTCTTTGCTATATCTCATTCATCCCCAGAGCATCTCAGGCCACTGGGCACCACCAGTAAGGTCCCAGTCTGCAAATGCAGAACCTGAGTCTTAGTGAGGCTGAGATGTTTGTCCCAGTGAAGGAACAGGAAAGCCTTATGTCTGCCAGAAGCCCTTGGTCTTCTCTTCTCAGCCCCTACCCCTGGGCAGCTCAGGTTTGTGCAGCTGGAATACGTGATGGAGGCAGAGGAGGAAATGCTGAATGGGTTGGGCTGGGAGGAAGAGTTCACAATCTGGGTGCCCCAAAGGTGTTCTGACCTGATTACAGAACCCTCCCTCCCTCCCCCACCCTGCTTCTTCCCCTCCTTCCCCCAACGTGGTCTCCACATATCACAGCTAGGAAGCGGGACAGGCATGGTGGGATTCATCTAAGAGCACCAGAACGGGGCAGGTGTGGGCCTGGTGGACCTAGCATAGAACAGAGCCAGGCCATGGGGAAGGGGCAGCTACTGGAAGCCAGCCTGCTGAGCAGTTTGTAGGAAGGCAGGAAGACGCATGGAGAAATCAAGAACCACACTTCAAGTGGTGTTGCAGATACTATCTATCTCAAAAGCTATTTTTGCTCCCACAAAGCTCAGAAGAACACCCCTTACCTCACGTCAGTTCTCCAGATACCCCAGCGTTCATTCAGGGAAGGATGTCCTAGATTTGCTTCTGGAGGGCTTACAACACTTTTTTGTTTTTGCAGGTTGTAAGTATGGAAATCCCAGGTGTAACAGGATTCTAGAAATACACAAGGAAAGAAGGAGTTATCAGCATCAGTGTGCACTTCGGGTGGACTTGGTAATGAGATGTTTCACTCATTTGAAAACTACAAGCTGCACATTTACGGTACGCCAAATGACAGTCACCAGGAAAGCATTTATGTGCTACTGTTATGTGCCAAGCCTTGTGTTAGGCATTTTATTCTTGGAAGATCAGCTTTGATGCCCATTTTAGGCGTCATGCAAGAAATCAGACCAGAACTGATGCTCCAGTCTTCCTCGCTCCTATGAAGCTGTTCATTTTCCCTACTGGAGTTTTGGGTTTGGATTTTTTTGTTATTTTTTTCTCATTCTTGTGTCCATTCTTTGTTCATACTTCATTACTTTATTCTGAAAAATGCCCTGTCTTGAACACACAACCTGTCATGTGGATCATGGGGATTGTGTGGACCACAGAAGCAACATCAGCTTACCCTTGATATAACTTTTATCTATGCCAATGCTATCATCTAGGGCGTGTGACACATGGCCATGATGAATTACTCAGGGAACCAAGAAAAAAAGTGACCCCATGAGAGATTCTTATCTTAACTGATAGTGAAGCAGCTGGCTACATGAGGTAGCCAAGGGGTTGGGATGATGTGAGGATCGAGGGTGTATGGACAGACACCTGGATATTTCACTGTGGAGAGAACATCCAAGCTTCTCCCAGGCCTGACGCCCAGCCTGATGATCCCAGACACATGCATCCTCTTGCCCTCCAAGTGGATGGTGATGAATCTACAGGGCATCTGGAGAAAGTTAAGTTCTTCCACTCACGCTTCATGGATTATGGTGCCCCTCCCCACAGACCAACCTCCCTCAAAGCCCCCAGCAGATGAGCAGGCAAATCACTCATGACAGAGCAAAGGAAGGGAACGAAGTCCCAGCTCTGGGAACAGCTTGTCAAATAGCCTTGCCTCAGAGCTGGGAAGAGAGCGCAGGTAGCTTGCCCTCCCCACCACGAATTTCCCCTTCTGGGAACAACACGGCCATAATTTGCTTGTCTGTGGCCCTCTGGGTATCCCCTCCTCAGAAAGTCCTGCCAACCAGCAGTGCATTCAGTGGCCATCCTGTCATCTTCCCAGCAGGCAGCCATCCTGGGCCATTGATACCAGGAAAGCATGCTTTTGCTGTCTTGTCAAAATTCAGTTGCTTGTTACCCCCTTCCCCGCCCGGCTTCCTGGCTGGTGGTGGTCTCTTATCAGAAACCCTGGGGCCCCATGAGCTCTGCCTGTGCCAGGAGCCTCATCAAGTTCCTTTAGTCTCCGAAGCTCTGTTTCTTATTTCAAGGCTGTGCTCTGTAGGTTAAGTGAGCATCTTAGCAGATTTTTGCACTAAAAGCACCTAGAAATGTCAGCCACTAAGGAATACCTCTTAAGCAAATGCTTGAGCCTTAACTTCTTAGTCACCTCCTAATAGAACATAAAAGGTCTTCCCTCTTCTTATCTCACTACAAGGGCTTACTCAGAACAGGGGACCAGCAGTGGGGAGAATTGAGTACATGAAGACCATGAGACTGCAGTACTGCACGGGTCCACAGCCCTCCAGCTCCGGGTCTGGCTAGGGCTCTCACTTGTCAGTTTTCTCATCTGTAAAATGGGCTAGACTGCCATACCTTCATCTCGCCAGGTTGCTGCAGAATGCTACTGTGTAAAGGAAGAGCTCAGTCATGTCCTGGAGCAATGGGATTCACGGTGACCACTGTCACATCTGTCAGCATACTCTGTGGAAGCTCTTTCTCTGAGGGTGGCTCCTCTAGAGAGGAAGCATCCACAGCACAGTGCCCCCGCCCCGAGGTCCAGACAAGTGCAGCCATCATTCCTATCTTATAGAAACAACACTTGGATGGGCTAAGGAGGCAGTCAGACAGCCACCAATCAATACATGACATAGTGACTGGTTTGCAGACTGGCTACTAGTTTTTCTGCTAAGGCAGAGTAGTTGGATGAATAATAACTGAACTCTGGCATCTACAGAAAAAAAGGGAGGGAGGGAGGGAAGAAGAAAGGAAAGAAGGAAGGAAGGAAGGAAGGAAGTCTTCCAAGGCAGTTGAGCTCATTTTGATTTTGATTTTTTTTTTTTGCTTGTGCCAGTCCCAGGGCTTGAACTCAGGGCCAGGACACTGCTCTTAAGGCTTCTTCCTCAAGGCTAGCACTTTACCACTTGAGCCACAGCTGCATTCTGGTTTTCTGGTAGTTAACTGGAGATAAGAGTCTCATGGACTTTCCTGCCAGGGCTGGCTTCAAACCATGATCCTCAACTCTCAGCCTCTTGAACAGGATTACAGGAGTGAGCCACCAGCACCAATGTGATGAACACTTTCATGTGTTTAGCCACACACAAGCAATGCTTCATGAAAATTAAGAAGCTAAAATGTCAAAGTTTCTCTTGCAAACGATTGCTGCGGTAGCAGGGAGAGAGCTCTGGGCAAGCCACAGGTCTCAGAGCATGGAAGAGAACAGCAAGGTCCCAGCTTTGCCTTAACATACCAAACCACTGAGTCACCTCCCACTTACAGAGGCTAGATGCACAGCACAGGCCAGCCAGCCTAATGTGGGCCACTGTGAGAAGGCCTGCTCAGACACACAGCCACCCCAGCAGAAGAGGGGAAGAGGAAAACCAGCAACCAGCATGTGTGAGGGCCTGGGCCTGAAGGATGAGGTGACCAGCCCCCAGACTGTCCTGCCATTTCCTTATTAATGCACGGTCCTCCCAAAGACAGGACATGAGGTGGCTCTGTGGTCAGCAAAGACACACACTGGACCTGGCTGCACAAGCCCTGGGCCACAATGACAACCCTTCCCTGACGTCACTTGGGACCCACAGCGACCCCTCATTACCGATACTCTGTGCTCTGCAGAACATCTGAGGATCTTCACTGCCAGTGACAGGCAGACCCAGCCCCCACGGGGCCCTCTGGAGGTAAGAGGCAGAGACATAGCCAAGCTCAATCCCCTGGTCACTCTCCCCTGGGATCTGACAGCAGAATTCCAAGAATGTCACAGGTACCAAGTTCCCGGTATACCACAGGTTCACTACCCCTTCTCCACAAACCCAAAGGCAAGGCCTTCCTCTAACCAGGAGAGGGAAGCGACAGTGTCTGGGCATCCAAACAACCGCCGCCAGGGAACTGCTACATGCATCCGCAAGGCATCTGTACCACCAGCAGGGCAGCCTGACCCTGAATGCCACCAGGACAGTGACTGCCCCAGCACAAGGGACAATGGAAACATAGATGGCACAAAGACCAACCAGCCCGTGGACAGGGGGGTGTACTGGGCTGGAGAAAACAAGCCAGTCATGAAATAAGCAAGCACACGTAATTTCTAATCTGGAAATCATCTACACGATATCCAGCCACGCAGATAACCCTAGCTGGAGAGTGGGAGCAGCCACAGCACCCAGATGCTTGGGTGTCCAGATTTCATCGTCAAGAGGCCCTGGTTTGTTTGAGGCTTCAACTCCCAGCTGCCTGGAACTTCCCCTGGAGTCCCATTGGCTCAGAGACTTGACATCACTCGAGTAACTGGAGACTGGAATTAAGTAGAAATATTTATCCCGTTTTCTTCTGTGAGTCATCAAAAACTATAGCCCAACATCTCTCTGCGATCACTTTGCTCTTTATGGAAATGAACTTTCCATTCAGGAAGCAGAGGCTCTGAGCAAGGAGGAGGAGATGCAATCAGGGAATCTTAGAAACTGAGCTTTACAACGTTGGTGGGAGGGGGGGAGAGATTGGGATTAGGATTGGGAGGGAGGGGGGAAGCTGGGAAGGGATGTGAAGGGTAAACAAAGGAGGAGGCTGCAATGCTTGGTAAGAAATGTATGCATTATCCTGCTCATGTAATTGTAACCCCTCTGTACAGTATGTTCACAAATAAAATTAAATTAAAAAAAAATTTTTTTAAAAAGAAGGAGACTTAGAGATTGCCTGGCTCGACAACCTCTTCGCCAGCGAGGAGAAGGCTACTTGGAGAGGCCGGGCCATGAAAGCCAATGAGGAATGTCGCTCTGGAGGATCCTAACCACAAGCCACCTGTTTCCCACAAAGGGTGTGCCAGGAGGGGCAGGAATGCCTTCTTCCAAGCCCAACCCCAGAGCAGGGGGCTCTGACATCCCCACCTAACAGCTCAAGGAAGATCCACCGCCTCTGCAGAGGCTGAGGCTGGGAGCAAGAGGAGGGAATCTAACTTTAGAAGCCTGTAGGTGTCCTGGAAGGACAGACGATGAGGACCACTATGGTCCCATAAGAAGGGACCGATGTTCCGTGTTCCCAGCCCAGCTTCCTTAGAAGGCTGCACGGAGTGGGACAGACAGTACTGGAGGGCAGAATCTCCAGTGAGGTCTGAGGGAGATGGCAGATGGAAGAGTTTCTGGAAGGTCACCAGTACAGGGAGGTTTCCCTGGGCCATGACAGAATCATTTCACCCACCTCAAACTTTCCTTTCTAGACCTACATTTGCATCCTGCTGTTCCTCACAAACATCCTCTCTCAACAGAAGTGACAAATGATTAAATCATCACCCTAAGTCAATGGTTTCATTTCTCCAACCTTCGAACCTCCCTTCCTGCCAGAATACTTGAGTCCTGCCACCCAGATCAAAACCCTTGATTTCTGTACAAGGTTTTCTGATCACCTGGGTGACTTGCGTAGATAAAACACACCCTCTGCACAAGAAAGAAGCTGGAAGAAGGGGAGAGTTCTTCTGACAAATGTGTTCCCCATTCCCCAAAGCATACACTATGCACCCCTCTCCAAGTAAGTCCTTCTCCTCGCAAGGTAAAGAGGTTGAACCAGGCAATCTCCAAGTCTCGCTCTAATCTAAGATTAACTGATTTCATCTCCCCCTCCTTGCTCAGTCTCTGCTTCCTGAATAGAAAAGAAAGTTCATTTACATACAGGGGAAAAAAAAGGCTAAGTGATCGCAGAGAGATGTTGGCCTGTAGTTTTTGGTGACTCACAGAAGAAAACTGTAT